AGTCAGAAGTGCCAGGTCTATGACCCTGCGCCACATAAACCAAACCACAATCGGGCCAGATGTGGCATGCCATCACATAAACAGTGCCATCTAACCCAGGCCTGGCCCATAAGTGGATGACATAGCACTTAACATGCCAGAAGTCAGCCAGCAGTGCCGCCTTGACACCCGAACCGGGGCAGACATATCTGCTATGTGGGAAGAATCCTGTAGAACTTCACGACTCTCCATTTGTATATACAAACTGTAATCTATCAGACAAATATGCTCGCGACCAACACAGCACATTCAGTATCTTCTAGTATTTGTAGGAAAAAGTTTGTTCAACCATATTAAATGATGCACTGAAGTTAGGAAAGAGCCCAGACTTTTCCATTGTCTCAGCCCATCAGAATATCATTAGTAAGGTTACTAATGATATTCTGATGGGCTGAGACAATAGCATTTTTCCTGTGCTGCGATGAAAATCTGGTTAAAATACCAGGATCAAGTGTAGTTTTTTTCGGTAATGATTTAAGTACAACTACCTTAAAAGAATGATCATATTTTATAGACACATATCTTTGGGTTTGCATAAGGAAGAATGTATTTGTATAGTGCTTTACTAGTCCCTAAGGACACCAAAGCACTTTATACAACCAGTCATCCACCCATTCACACACTGGTGATGGCAAGCTACGTTGTAGCCCCAGCCACCCAGGGGCGCAGCGAGGCTGCCGGACACTTCCGCCATCGGGCCCTCTTACCACCAACGGGTGAAGTGTCTTGCTGAAGAACACAACAACCGAGACTGTCCAAGCCGGGGCTTGAACCGGCAACCTTCCGAGTACAAGGCGAACTCCCAACTCTTGAGCCACGATCGCATTTTATTCAGTGTAAAATGCAGTGCTGCCTGTTGCGGTAACCACATATGAAAAAGGGAGCAGCCAATAGTAGCTTCTTAATCAATGGTGTTGGGTCTAAGGGGACTGAAATAAATATTTAGGTTATCTCACAGATATATACAGCAATTCATGAAAACATTATTTCTCAAAGTTTAAGGAGGTTTATGCCAAATTATGCCAGCAACACCACAAAAAATGGGCACAATCAGTCACACTAAAAGCAAAGAAGTTCAGTTGTAGACACAAAAAAGTTAGATGAATTCAGTAAAGGAAAGTTCAAAGACAGGTGCTTCAGTGCTTCCTTACTTGCCTTTTTTGCATAGGAGCTTCTGGGCTATCCTTTACAAAATGAAAGAGCAGAAAAGCTGCCACAATTCAAAGCATTTGGGGCACTAAATGACACCTATCCCAGATGTCATTTGGTTGAGTTAAACCTTGGATTAACCAGTCCAGGACAGAAAAACAGATACAGCCAAGAATCACCTATTAACTGAGCAAGTCTTTGAACTGTGGGAAAAAGCTGGAGTATCTAATAAGGCACAGAGAGAGAATGCACACAGTAGTGTCAACCACTGCACCATGGTGCCACATATAATACCAAGTTTCAGAAAGGGAAGCATGAAATGTGGTATTTAACCATTAGGGAGCAAAATAACATTTTGGCTGTTTTCTTTTTGCTTTGAACAAATATTTGTTGTCTGTTGAAAAGTGGGAGGCTGAACTTCTAATGTTCTTCTAATTACCAAATTTGACTGTCACAGTGGATCACGATGAAATATCTAAAACTATTCCCAGGACAGTCATCTTGGAATGTGCTCCACAACTGGAACAGAACTTCTGGCCATACTTAGAAGGATGCCAAAAAGGAAGTGAGAGCTAATCTTCGCAACTGTTTTGCATACTGACAGGAACCTTGATGTGTTTCATTACTTAGGGTTGTTAATCAAAAACGTATCTTTTTCTGTTAGTCTTTATTCTCCTCCTTCTAACAAGACCACTTCAAGCAGTGGAACTGATTTTATCTCTTATGACTTGACATTGTAGTTCCCAGAAAAAGTTCTGAACCCTTTGCAATTAGGAGAATTTCACACAAAAATGTGGTCTGATATTAGTTCATCTTAAAGGTAAACTAATAATGAACAAAGAGTTGTACTTTTCACGTCTTTATTGAACATAATGAGCAATCAAGCACAGTGAAGACTGAAAATACTCTGCTACAAACTGTTGAGCTTCAGTAACTTATAGAAACTTCTTTTCTCCGTTACATGGTGCTCAAAGTGGTTTAAAAGACTTAAGACAACAGTGAATACATGTTGTTCTATTTCTCCTAAAAAAAAGCTGTTTAAATGTTCCCACATGGAATTGTTCCCTCAATGGACGCAATGCCCTAAGGGAGCAAAGCAGCCCAAAACTACAACGGTGTCTCCACCATGTCTAACATCTGGGAGACATGGTGGAGGCTTTGTTGTGTGCTGTAGTGCCTTTTAAAATAAAAATAAAAAATAGCACTGTGTAAGTCCTATATTTGCTCACATAAGACATTTTTTCTTATTGTGAATTGATGAACATCCAGCTTTTCAGACACACTTCTGTAGCCTTACTAAGTGCATCTTCACAACATTTCTTCTAAAGTTCTGTGAAAGTTTCTACAATTGCGGCATGATTCACAATGCAATCCTTCTTGAAAAAAGTAGTGAACCATGAACAAGACTTTGCATGCCTCAAACAACCCACGCATCTCATCTTCTTGAAGAAGTTTTTGAATAAGTCACATTTTACAAGCTGGCAATGTGAGTGATTATGCAGTGTTTTCAATAAAGACAGGTCCAACTGTTTGTATTATGTGTTCAGATATGTTGATGTGTAAAAAATGTGCTTTTTTTCCCAATACAGAAAACTTACAACCCTTATGGATCAAGATTACAAACAAACGCAAGGTGAGAATATACGGATTAATTAAGCAAAAAGACTGACGTTGCGTTTTTTTTACTGAAATGACGCTAAAGCATGCTTCTGTGGTCTTATTAAAGCACAGACCTGCAGGACATAGAAATTGAGGGACAGTAATGTGAGTATCCTACTGGCCTATAAAGCATTGCTAACAGTTAAGCATCTGGAGCTGTTTAAATGCGTTAAACAAATGCATTGTGTGCAGCAGTATAACTGCACATATGTCTTTATGTTTTTATGTATTTTCAGTATTGTTTTCTCTCTCCAGGCAGTCACTGCAGCAGCAGACAGAGCACTTGTGAACCTGAGTTTTTGTGTCAGTATATGTGTAATGTTGAATCATGCACACCTTTTGGATAAGAAGCTTTGCTTGATCTGAGACCAAAGATGGAACTTATTGTTAATAATGTGGTATGTATATTATGTTTATGCATTTTCTATTGCAGATAACTTTTTAAGTTCACAAAAAAAGTGTTTTTTAAAGCAGTTATGTATGTTGAATTATGTGTTTCTATTTGCTACAAGTTAACATCATGTTTTTAATGTTATTTGCCAAACATTTCCAAGAATTATTTATTATCGTCACTTTATTCAATCACTGTATTGGTAATAAAAGTTAACCATCGATAACCAGCTGAAACTTTATTTAGCTAACCAGCTGTCCAGTTCATAACTGAACACAGTACATTCACATCTAAAGAGCGGGTCATGTTCTCATTAAAGGATTTATAGCCACTTCATAGTGTCCACTGTTGTACATTTTGTGTTGGAATTTTTTTTCTCTTGCAAAAACTTGCAAAGTTTATCAATCTAAAAAGTCTTTACATAGTTGCTCTTTTGTTAAGAGAATTCGATTTTTTATGTGATTGTTTTTTTTAAGTATTTCAAAACTGTACAAACAGTTTCAATATGACTTCTGTACAATAATGTGTTGTTGGTTACGAGAATAGTTAGGAAATTATTACAATAGATGCATATCACTGCTGCAGCTTCAAAGGAAATGTGTTTTATTACATATGGAGGTGACAGATTTTAGTGGGAATAATAACACAATTTATTCATATGCACGCATTACAATCATTACTGTATGGTAATGACAAATAACTGGTTATAATACTGAGAAAACAGAAAGGCTTTGTGCACGTGGGTTTCTCTAATGCTGTCAGTTGCTTGTATTCACTTGTATTTACTCCATGATGGTCAGGCCAAATGTTTTATTTGTGTTAATAAATACTTTAATGGTTTTCAGAAGAACTGGACAATTCCCCAAAAAGTGAAACATTTGCATGTGGCTTTGAGAGGACCAAATCAGTAAATCATGTCGAAGGATGTGCATATGCATGTGAGCTGGCCTCTGTTTTGTTTTCAATGAATTTTTGAAGAAAACAGAGACGGAAAACACAGCTCTTCGACCCATCGTCTGCAGTACCAACTGCAACCTGCAATACAGCATAATCTATAACACAATTAATTTCACATGCTACCGCTTATCAGAGTGCAAACCACCGTTGCATGGCAGTGATGCATTCTTTATCCCAAGACACTGCACCATTACAAAACAAGTAAAGCATTTCTCTAATTCAATTTAGTGCCTTTCTGCAAGGGATTAAAGGCAGCTGTTGAAGATGAAAAGGCAAGTTGTCTTCAACAATAAATATGTGGGAACTGCTTAAGATCAGTTAGAAGAAGTGGAGATACCTTTTGACAGTAATCTTTCCCAGCTCATCTGCTTCTTACTTTAAAATTAGAGGAAACCAAATTAACTTGTTGTCAAAAACTCTGACAGGTCACGTGGCCCAATAGGGTCTTGAAAAGTCACTGTGTGAACTGAAGTAAACAATTAGATAACAGTGAGACATAACAGTCACGGCTCATTTGAAGTAGAATACATATTTAATTAGAGACACACTTAACCAGACAATTTCACATGTTAAATGTGAACAGGGAGAAAATCAAAATTGTACTATGGACTGAATAACCAGAAGACAAAGTGTAAATGCTTTACTCAGTGTGCATCACTGATTATAATTTTAAAATGTTCACAAAAACATATTGATGATAATTACTGCTCCTTTCCACCAGGTGCCACATGATGGAGGCAAAAATCCAATGGCTGGCAGTTTCATATTATATTTTATATTATATTATATTATATTCCTATTATACCTGAGCACTATTATTACTAACCATTTTACCAGACAACTGGAACCAATTAATTAGTTGAGCGGATGTAACTCGTTAGACCAGATCTCTTCACTCTTTGTCATCCACATGTCTGCCACCCGGATATGTGATTGTAAAACTATGGTATTTCCTTTTGGTTAGTTTTATAATTTCAATAATGCTAACAGCTTTCATAACAGCTTAAACAAACATTATGCAATCATGTTTTAATGAGGAGGAGAGTGAGTAATATAAGGAAAATGCAATGAAGCATAATAGCATGGCATGTGTTACAGATAGAAACATTTCGGAAACCTCTACACATCAATGAAAGCAACATGCCGCAAACAGTAGGCGGCTTCAGCAGGAATGTCTTTGGCACTGATCTCATTAGCATCGAGACGGAGCATTTTCAGCCTGGAGAAGTTTGACATGTCAACAGCACTGCAGAAACTGCTCAGGGAGAACTCTGAAAGAGGAAAGGGGCGAGAAAATAGGTTACTCTCATCTTTTGAGATGTGAAGCAAAAAATGATGTCTTGATGATGTCTGTTCACCACAAGTGTTACCAAACCAAGCTCATTGCTACATATACCTATGCATATTAGTCCGTGCAAACTCCAAAATGTATGACTGTGTCAGAAAGGGCAGATCTTCTCTAAACCTTTCCTTAAATGGAGTCAGTAAAGAGTTATTTTCTGGAGTTTGTCAAAAAAAAAAAACCTGCATTGTTTTCTGTTGAGAGCTCTAGTGTGAGGATATCTGGTGTTTCGTAAAGTTTCTACCATGACTGAGAGACAGTTCGTGGAAAATTCCTGCTTCAAGGGAATAATTTAAATAACTGGTAAACAGTTTGAAAATCTTGCTTTTGCTGTCATCTAGTGGTTGAAATGTTCTCTTTGCTGCATGTGCAGCTCCGATCCCGAACATCACATGCAGGCATTAAATGATTCTTATTTAAAGATTGGGGGGAAAAAATTACATTTTAGGAAGTTGATAAGCCAAATAAACACATTTGTGGATAAATACATACAAGCTGGATGACCGTTTGAATGAAGTTGAGTAATATAGCTAAGAAGCATACAGGATAACTAGCATGAGTCTTTATCAACCAAGCAATGGGAGAGGATTACACCACTGGAGGCATCCTGGAGCATAACAAATTGACTAACAAACCATATTTGGACAAAGCACAGTCCTTTTAAACATTACATCTAAAGTCTTCAAGATTTCTGTATTATCACTCGCTTTATATGCATGAGTGGCATCGTGTGTGTCTCGCTGAGTAAAACCACTAAACTACTGGAGAGCTCCGAGTCTTACATAAAGACAGCCTGCAACATTCAGGAAATTAGTTCTGCACTGAGGGTGTATGTAATCACATTACTCTTCTTTGCTTATTTTTAACCTTTTTGTCTTTCTGTGCCCATAAAATATTTCAAGGCATTATCTAATTTAAAGTAATAGAAGTCCTCATACCTTTAATCTTATTGCCTTGCAAGTAAAGGTTCTCCAGGTTCATGCTGACAACAGGAATCTTTTCCAGTTTATTGAAGGACAGGTCAAGCTCGACCAACGTGCTGATATTGAAGACATTGGAAGGAAGTCCTTTATTAGTCAGCTTGTTATGAGCTAAGCGGACAAACTGCAGTTTGGGATACATGGTGAGAAAATCTGCTGGAATGCTTTCTATATTATTAAATTCCAGGTATAGCTGCTGCACCCTCACAGGGAGGTTGTCAGGGATTTTTCTTAGTTTGTTTTTCCTGATATCCAGCACTGTCAGAGACTTGAACCCCTTGAACACACCTCCAACGTCTTCTATGGCATTTGCTTGGAGATGAAGGGTGGTGAGGTTGGTCATCCCCTTGAATGAGCTGGCAAGGACTTTTGATATCTTGTTGTGCCCAAGTCGCAGGTCTGTGATTGAAGTGGGCAAGTTAGGAGGCACGTGTGTTAGGTCATTGTGATCCAAGAGGAGCCGATCCAAGTTCTTGAGCTTGCTGAAGACATTCTTGCTGATTTTGTCTGAGCTGAGCTTGTTGTGAAATAACACAATCCAGACCAAGTCGGTAGCGTTGTCAAACACCCCATCCTGGATGCCTGTGATCTGGTTATGCTGCAGGTAGACATATTTTATATGCGAGGGGACATAGGGAACATGCTGAAGGTTGCGGCTATGACAGTACATGGCTGTGGGGTAGACTGAGGGGCAATTACACTCCAGGGGGCAATTTGCATCCTCAGCCTGCAAGCCAGCGTGCCATTGTCGCCTGCGCAGGTGGGACAGCCACTGGATCTGGCTGTAGTGTTGGCCAATACCCAAATCCACTATTCCTATTGTGAGGAGCACCAATGTCCACATGATCATTCTGAAAAACCCAGGAAAAACGGGGAGAAATTATGTAGTTGAAAAGGTAATAATAAATCTTAACAACACTGATCGTTGTGGAAATGATTGGCAACTAACACTGACTTACGCTGGTGTATTAACTTCAGACAGATCTCATTCTTCCTGCTCCACTTTTTAAATGTAAGGTAGGTGCAGTATACCTACCAGTTGGCCGATCTGAGACGATGCTTCCTCCCTTGCTCACACTGCCCGTGTGTTTCTCAGAATAAGTGGAAAATGTTGTCGGTATAGAGTAAATCCCCTCTCTCTGAGGCTGTAGCCCCTGTGGCCCCAGCCACTCTGTCTCATTAGTGCACATATATTTTCCACTATCTACACATCAACATATCACCTCCAGCTATGCAAATATCAATACCATGTGTGAACTAGTATGGACATCTGCTTTTTAACAGCCTTGTTTTCCTTTACTGTGTCACGCCTTATCATTAGTACAGCCATGCAGTCTGGCTTGATGTTTACTATTGTGGTGTGGTGGTCTTGGAAAAATTGGGGTGGAGGTTATGGTATGGAATTGCACTGTTGCCTTGATAATTAAATTAGCGCTATTATTTCTTTGAAATACTGGAAGAGTTAAGTATAATTTCAAGTACAGTTTTTAAATGGCAGTATGTTTTTGTCTAGTATATACTATGCAGTATGTTTCAACAAAGTATGTCAAACCCTGTCATTTTTTTACTATCTTTGCCTACAAGCACTACTTTTCTCAATTACTGTATTCAAGTGGTGAAGAAAGATAACATGTGTTTTTGCTGGCATCTGCAGACAGAAGTACATCATTATCAGGCAGCGGATAGATTTCAGAATAGGCCTTTTCATTCATGTCCTCCTCCAAATTGGATGCAGAGTTTCAGGGATTATGTGTGTGTGTGTGTCTTTCCAGTCTTCTTTCTGCGCCCCTCTGAGACAGTGAGAGGCAATGTGCTGATTTAAGATGGAAGTGGTTCAAGACGTAACATACCTTAACCAAACTCTTAGATCTTAGATGAAAGATGAGGGAACCTGAGGATAACAGATGGGAAGCGTTCCAGGAAAGACTTGGAAGATTTTCCCCTTTTTTCTGAAACAACAAGACGCCCTATCCCTAAAGAACTCGTTTTCTAAACTATCAAACTAAGTAGCTACATTTTCTAAGACCCGATGATCAAATATCATTCTGCTAAATCAATTAAAAATGGCTATGCTTCATCACAAAGTACCTCCAAAGTAGAAATATTGGTGAAAGAAATTAAAATCTTTCCAGTAGAACCATGTCCGTGTGAAAACTTTGGCCTTGATCAATCATTGTTACATAAAATCCAGATTTCACTTTAATCTTCTTTATACAACCCAGATTTTTAGATAGCATGAGATAAACAGCTTTGTTTTTTCTCTGTGTATCTTTGAGTACAAAACAAAGACAGTTTGAATTAAAACAGGATTTGAATAAAACCGAAGGTATTTTCTTATAATGTGAATGTCGTGTTTAATCCAAAACATCTGACTCAGTGTTAACCGTGGCTTACACTCATGAGTACGTCACACCACACAATAAATGTTCAGCAGACCCATTCTCTGCTTCGTGACCTGACAACAACAGGTAAATATGATATTTCTTATTGTAAATGAATTTCAGTACTGAATACAAATAGTAGGAAGTAAGCATGCTAATTTGAAAATTTCTGAATAAGAATTCTTAAAAGAGTTAGAGGAAGAAAGAGTAGGCAAAGACCGCAGAACAGTTTTTAATTTTCATGTATATATGGACACACTAGTTTTTATACTGAGGGCAGTAAACTGTTGGATGTGGGGGAAGTTCATGTCATTAAGTTTAATCCTAACATAAAATGCTATGGTTCTAACATGGGCATGCTACCATTCCAAACAGTTTAGAGATGCAAGCTGGTTAGCGACCATAACAGTGACTTTGCAGCTATTTTGTTAAATCATGACCAGTGGCGCTGTGGTTGGCATTGTTGCCTACAGCAAGATAGTTCTAGGTCTGCCTGGCTGGGGCCTTTTGCACCCACAAACTCCAAACTCCACACATCTCCATAATAATAGTACAAACTCCAAAAATGTGTGTTAGGTTAATTGGTTATTCTAAATTAGCTGCTGGTGTGAATTCTTGCTCATAGTCCCTTTCGTTGAATGAATATCTGCCAGTTCCTCCGATTGAGCTCTATCACAGATATGACATTTGCGTGAAATCACAAAGCTTATCTAGACTTTTCCCATCCCTGGATGTGTGGAGCCCGGAAAGCTTGCTAGCAAAGGTTCCACTCTACATCAGTGAAGTTCTGGTATTTCTCTGCAAGTTTAATCTTATAATGGTGATTAAAACAATCCTTAAACTAAGGTTTGCAAAACACAAACTACGAATAGGGCTTTACATCTGACTTTAATAAATAAATACTTTTAAGTGTTATGTCTAATTTAAAAACTCTTTTTTAATCTTTCAGGTCTTTCAGTTTCAATGCATTTACAGTAAAACTCTATTCACAGTGCTTATATAAATTCAAAAAATAAATGTTAAAAATCTGCATTTGGCTTCAAAATATACGTTTTTTTTTGTGATTTCCCACAAAACTGCAAAAATAAAACAGTAAACTATTCTCTGATAGGGAGTGTATCAAACTGGCTGAAAATTTTAACCTTATTTCTCAATGACATAACAGGGGTAATCAGAGGCAACCAACAGGCAGGAAGTGGCCCAGGGGCCATTCAGTGCTGTGTCTAATTTAAGTCCTACCTTCAATATAAAGAAAACAGAAACTGAACATAGCATGGACTTCATGGACATCCTTAAGAAAAGCTGGGGCAGAGCAAAGTTATAATTGCTTTGTCGTTTTATTGGCTCCAGTATTAGTTTTACTTTCTTTTTTTTATAATTTTAATGTGAATAATCTTTTTGTAAAGAGCTAAATATAAGAAGTTCTGTATAGATATTAATGTTGTCTGAGGTTAATTGGGTTGGTACATTTGGCCATATTAATGAGAACTAAAGCACTTTTTCTCTATATTATTTTTGTTAGTGCACAATATTGTTTAAGTTGTCTTTTTAAATAATTTTTTAGTTACCCATGGTTTAATTATTTTACAAGTTGCTCTACTTTAGTTTTTGTTAAATGCAATAACCTGGGGCGCGGGCATGTTTCCCACTGTGTTGCATTTCCTCTTCTTTTAACAACACTCTTAACAACGCTGTTGGGAACTGAGGAGAGCAACTGCTGTAGTTTCAAAAACATTCTTTGCTTGATATGAGATTCAGCTCCTCAAAGGTTTAAGGCCTACTATGTTATATTACTCATTTCGTCATGCACCGAGTGTTTTCAGTGAGTGAGAAGTCTGGGTTGCAGGCATGTAAGCTAAGCACCTGGAGTCTTTTACAATGGGGCCATGCTGTTGTAGTACGTGCAGAATGTGGTTTGGCATCGTGTTCCTGAAATAAGCGCAATCTTTGTTGAAAAATATGTCAGAATAACATCACAGATGTTTGCTTTTGAACTATCCAATATAACAATCCTTCCCTCTCATCTTTACCCTGCATAGTGCTGTGTTCATGATTTAAAAAAAAAAAAAAAAAATCAAATTTTAATTGGTCAAACCACAGGACCGTTTTCTACTTTGCCTCATTCCATCATAAATGAGCTTGGGCCCAGAGAAGGCGCCAGCATTTCTGGATCTTGTTTATATTTTTTTTTTTTCTTTGCTTGGTACAATTTTAACTTGTATTTGTGAATACTGCCACAAACTATATTAAACTATAAGCTTTAAAGAAGTTTATTGTGTCTGTTTTTAATGCAGAGTTCTTTCTCCCGAGGGCCTGTAGATGACGTCCATTCACAACTGGGTTTTGGCCAGGCCATATTTTGTAACAAAGTTAGTTTAAAAAGTAAAGAATTCCTGGAATTCGCTAAGAGAAATGCTATTTTAAAATTGCCTAATTATTGGCCTTTCACAAAGCTGGGAAACCCTCCCATGTTGACATTTGAAATGCTCAAAAACACTTTCTTCTCTGACTTGTTTCAATTAACCTAATTAGTTCCACAAGGTGTGACCTTTGAGTAATGTATTTACTGCACATTAGTGCAGTAAATACATTAACATTATGGGAAAAATCATTCACAAGTGGATACAATTACAAAAAATCATCTTTTGAATTTACTCAGAAGGTTTTTTTTGTTTGTTAATATATAATTTGGTAACTGGGTATGTGGTACAATATTAAGTAATACTATTTCATTTTTACATTCCTCACTGTTTACCAAATCCTCACGTATGCCATGCCCCCCCCTTCCCAAGAAATTCTTGTTGTTTGTGGT